CGGACACGTGTTGAAATGAGACTAGGTTTATGTATGTCCATCTCTGAGTATGTATATTTGTTGTATTTGTGTGTGTGTGTGTGTGTGTGTGTGTGTGTGTGTTGTAAGGTACTATCCTCTTGGACAAACTGCCATCATCTTTATGGGATCAGCAGTGCCTGCTTTTGAGAGCCCATCAAGTTTGTGTCCTGTTGACATTCCCTTTCAGAAGGAGGGTGCCACATCATCATTTAGATTCCTCTCAGACATCTGTATGAAATCATACTCTTAAATGTGATTTCAGAGTATCATAGAGGTATTATGTACATAGACTTAGGGATGACTTGGGGAATGGGGTTTTATCTATATGGCTATGAGGAAGTCATCTAGTGTAGCTTCTTTGGAGTTGCCCATGCTTATCACCTCTCATCCATGCTGTGTGACTTCACTGTGACTTTCCTAACTTGAGATTATACTTAATAATTTTTATTAGGTTCATTATTTAGGATGAGGTCTGGCCCATGGGAGACACTGAATAACTCTTTGTTGCTAAGATATAGAAATTGATAAACCAACATTATTTTATTTATATAAGCATATTTATATTTGTGTGTTAATATATTTATATTGTATAACCATAATTATAGGATGTATACTATAAATGCTAAAAAAAAAGTTTGAGCATGGAGCCTTGAAGATTTGTAATATATTTTCAGTGTAGTTAAAAGCATTATTTTTTTCCTCTCTGACCTATCCCTTCAAATCTGCCTTCACATCCAGTGAGACTGTAGAGGCTGCAAACATTTCTGGGACTGGAATGGGGACCGGGGGATGAGTTAGGATGCATTCTCTCTGGGATTAATGAGCTATGTATTTAAGTGACTGGCATTCACTTCTTATACATTTATGTTATCCTGGTGTAGAAACAGCTTCCAGAGTTCCTTCTGTTCAGCATGGAACACGTCCCTGTAGTGATACCAGTAACAAGGCCAGAGTCTATGTCACAATGTGACAGCCTCCTACAGTGCATGGAACTGGGGGAACTGGAGTGATGGAGAACAAACAAGGGAGAAAGCTGCAGTATGGGAGAGTGGGCTGTGGATGAGATTTCACCCATCGAATGTGTAAATCACTAAGAGAAATACAAAAGGGTATAGTGTCTTCTAGTAAGACTGCACTCGGAAGAATTCATATTTACTCTAACTAATGACATTGATGTTTCTTAGTTTCTTTCCTGCTGTGGTGATGAAACACCCAGACAATAGCAGTTTGGGAAAGAAGGGTTTGTCTTACATTTCCAGGTAATAGTTCAGAACTGTGAGGAAATCAAGGCAGCAGAAATTTGAAGCATCTCCTTACATCACATCCACAGCCAAGATTGAGGAACACATGCACACAAGATTGCCAGTGTCAGCTCACTCTCCCCATTATATTCAGCCCAGGGCTTTGCCCTAGGGAATGTTGCCACCCATAGTGGACTTCGTTTTCCCATGTCAACAAATGTGATCAAGACTATCTCATGAGCTAACCTTATCTAGAACATTTCCCACTGAGATCCCCCAAACATGATTCTAGATTGTGTCAAGGTGATTATTAAAACTAACAATCAAAAACTAGAAAAAAATGCAACAAACAGGTAACTAAAATGATATTTGTGTCTTCACCCAGCTTTATAAAAAATGGGATATGACTTTTTTCTCTGACTATATATAGTCTTTTGCTTTTTGATTTTTTGTAATATTTGACTCACTTATGGCAGGTTTTCATCACATGTGTATTAGAAAGGATTCTCTAGAAAAACAGAACTGATAGAATGAATCTATGTAAGTATGTATGTATGTATCATGTATCTTCTTCCTTTCTTTATCTAGAAAGGGGATTTATTAGAATGGCCTACAGGCTGTGGTTCAGCTAGTTCAAAAATGGCTGTCCACCAACAGAAAAATTCAGTAGTTGCTTGGTTTGAGACTGGATTTCTCAGCTGGTCTTCAGTATATATTTCAGTCCCGAAGAAGATAGGTTCTAATGCCAGTGAAGGAATAAACTTAGCAACGAGGGGAAGAACAAGCAACCAAAGAGCAAGCTTCCTTCTTCCATATCCTTTATACAGGTTGCCAGAAGAAGGTAAGGCCAAGATAAAAACGTATCTCCCCACCTCAAAAGTGGGACTTCCTATTTCTAAAGTTTTAATTAAGAAAAAATGAAACATAGATGTACCAAACCATGTGGGTTTTAGTTAGTTCCAAATGTAGTCAAGTTCACAACCAAGAATAAGTCACCACAATGCACCTGATCACTCAGGCATTTCTCCCCTATCATTTATGACTAGAAATTAAACTAAAAATTACAGCTCTGATTTGTATTACTTAAAGTTAAGGCAGTCTTTTGAAGCATAAATTTTATTTTAAATACGTCACTCCTATACTCAAATTGGATTTCAAGAAGCAAGCTCTGTTATTTTCAGATGTTACCATGACATTGTGGTCATCTTAAAAGCCCTTATGTAGATACACACTAAAAATATTTACAAACAAAATGATGTATCTAGGATTTGTTCCAAAATTGTAATAGTGGCAGTGTGGATGAAATATGGATGAGGTAGCTGGTCTGGAATGTAGTTAATGAATACTGGCATGTAGTTAATGGGCACATACATTTTCTTTCTTTCTTTTTTTTTGAGTTTTTTAAATTTTTTTATTTTTATTTTACATGTCTATCCCAGTTTCCTCTCCTTCCCTCCCTCTTATCCTCTCTCCCCCCTCACATGCACCATGACCACCCTTCCCTCCCATCCCCCAACCCCAATTCCACATGTAGGGCAATGCCATCCAGGTGGGGTCATGTATGTCTGTCAGGTCATTTAAAGTAGGGACTAGGACTTCTCTCTTGTCTCTAGGTTAAGGCAGTATCCCTCCATGGGGGATGTGTCTGCAAGGTCCTTTTGTGCACCAGGGATACATCCTGGTTCCACTGTCTGAGGTCCCTTAGATTGCTCAGTCCTTCTAGCTGAGACCCATATTCAGAGGGTCTGAGTCAGTCCCATGCTGGATTCTCAGCTATCAGTCTGGGGGTGTGTTAGCTCCTCCTTGTTCAGATAAGCTGTCTTTATGTGTTTCTGCAACCTGGTTTTGTCCTCTTTCTCTGCATCTGGATTCTAGTTCGACTCAGTGTTTAGTTATGAGTGTTTGTTTCTGTTTCTGATAGGTACTAGATGAGGGCTTCATGATGGTGAATAAGTTAGTTGTTGATCTCACTGTCCGGGAAGGGCATTTATGGTAGCCTTTTCACGGTTGCTCAAATTGTTAGTTAGAGTCAGTCTTGTAGGTCTCTAGATCTTTCTTTAGGTTCAGTTTTCTCTTCAAACCAATAACCAATAATGGCTCCCTCTTTTATGTGTTCTCTCTCTCTCTCTCTCTCTCTCTCTCTCTCTCTCTCTCTCCTGTCTTCTATTCCTACCCTGACTCAATCTTCCTATTCGCATGTGCTTTTCTCCCCTTCTCTTTCTCCTAGTTCTCTCTCCATTCACTGCCCCCCCACTTCCCCTGAGCTCTGGGGGACTTGTCCCTTCCCCCTTCTGTGAGGGACCTTGTATGAATCTCTTAGAATATACCTTGTATCCTAGTTCCTCTGGTGGTGTGAATTATAGGCTGGTGATCCTTTGCTCTAGGTCTAAAATCCATATATGAGTGAATACATACCATGTTCCTCTTTTTGTGACTGGGTTACCTCATTCAGGATGGTTTCTTCAAGTGCCATCCACTTGCCTGCGAATTTCAAGATTCCATTATTTTTTTCTGCGTAGTAGTATTCCATTGGGTAGATGTGGGCACATACATTTTTTATGTATATGTTTGTGTTCATGAGTGTGCAGGAGAAAGTTATGTGTTGGTGAATGTTTACGTACATGTGCAGGTAAGAAACAATATCAGGTGTCCTTCCTTGGGTGCTGTTTATTATTTTTCTCTTTTGAGACAAGTCTCTCACTGGCCTGAGACTTACCAAGGAGGCTTATACTGGCTTGTCATGGCACCTCAGGGATGTCCCTGTTCTCCAGAGCTGGGATTACAAGTAACACTGTTATGTCTGGCTTTTTGTTTATATGGATTTTGAAGATTTTTTTAAATAACATAAATCTTCATTAATTCTTTGGGAATTTCACAGATTGTACCCCAATCCTGCTCACCTCCAAGTCCCTCCATATCAGCCCCTGCAGTGCCCCCTGCAAACAAACCCCAGAAAAATAATTAAAAACAAAACAAACAAAAATCACCTTACTCTGTATTTCCTACCTCTTCAACACCTCTTCATTCATCCTAGTGGTGTTGGGGGCTTCAGTGTGTCACAGTTTACCCTTTCGTCCAATCAGCCACGCCCACAAATGTTCATTGCAATGACTCATTCATTTTGTTCAAGGCACAGCATCATCACTGGACCCTCATGAAAACTCTCAGATATCCTGCTGTAATCCTGAGTCATGGAGATCCTGCAGCTATCATTCAGTAGGACTAGTCCCTTCACAAGTCTTATGGTTTGAGTGTTCAGAGTTCTCTATTATAAAAAGCATTAAGGTATTCAGTTTGCCTGTCAAACTCATTGGACATAACTGGGTTCTGGCTGTGGATTTGTGCTGTTTGACAATGTGGACCTCTTAGTGCTATCTCAATAAGCTCATCTTTTTCTCATTTCCATTTCAGCTACCTATTCTCCATCTTTTCCATGATCCAATGTTTCTCCCATTTACCCTTCAGCCATAAGGGCAGGATGGGAAAAAGGCTTCTGGTCTGTGGACCTCTCCCATTAATTAGGATTATGAGGAAGCAGCATCAACTGAAGGGAGAGCTCTTAGTAGTATGGAACAGTCATGCCTATTCCTTAACCTCCAAAAACAACTGCATCAGTCTACCAAGACATAAAGCAGACAAACTGAGCAAACACATCTCAAAGAAATATGACATTCTACTATTTCATTTACATAGAATATCATAGAGTTCCAATTCAGAAGAACACACAAGCATTTGATATTAACCATAACAGACTGCATTAAAGATCCTTGAAAGTGATCCCAACAGCTTTTTGGATGAACTACACAGATTCCAAGATTTTGAAATATTTGCCATTTGAGGAACTTGGAAGTTTATTTTCTGTAAGGTTTGGGGTGGGGGAATAAACCAGCAAATGGTCTGGGGGATAATATCCATTGATTCTGCTGGTACACAGGCTAGTTTTCCTTTCTTTCTGAATAGAATTTGATATTCTGCCATTGAACATTTGTCTCTGGCATCTGATTGGTTTGTGGATTTGGTTCTTTGGATTCATAATGATATAGTCTTTTTCTCCTTGGGTGTTTCTCTTCACTGTGTGACTATAATTTGAACTCTGATCGACATTGGACTTTCTCCATAAATCAGATTCAGCCTTCCTTCTTTCTTTGACTTAGGGGTATATGTGAGACTTGCCATGTTTTGTTTTGTTTTGCATGATTCAATTTAATATTTGATTCAGTTGTTGAGGAGGTTAAAGAGTAGCTTGTTCTGCTCCACATGGCCGTGGTCCAAGGCTTCTCTTCACTGAATGTTATTGAAGATGATGTAGACTCTATTTCTACAGTATTGGATGAGGTATAAGACAACCAGTCAGGAGACTGCATTTTGGAGTTAAATCTATATTTCCTACTATTTCAAGAATGCCATAATGGAGGTTTGTTTTCTATGGATTCTAGTATGATGGTCATTTGTATCTTCATTGTAAAATGGCTTCAAAAAATTGCTTTATCCATTTGGTGAATATCTGCCAATGGAATGTGTTTAGGTACCTCAAACAAGAACTTTTGTGAATCTTGAGGTAAGTAAAAATTGGTTTCAATAAACACACATTCTTACTGATACTTTCCTCGGAAGCTGGACATTCTGCCAAGTCACTGAAATGTCAATATTTAGGGGAACATCATTGATCCAGTCATCAGAAATCCAAGATGAACTCAGCAGTATTTGCTGAGTTCCTGAAACAGAATATTGTGTGAATGGTTTCTTGGAACCATACATGATATTATTTACCCTTTTATGAAGTCATCTGTAATTTTAAATCCAAAAGAATTATTATATAATTCTATTTTGTGCCTTGTAGTTCAGGGTAAAAGGCAGATACATTGGCTGGCTCTTGGAATTTTCTTGTGAGTAATGAGCTTTGTTGTGGATTTTTCTTTTGGAAAGGAACATATTGTAAAGGTTCTTTGTCAAAGGAAAGAATACTACTTTCTTCACTATTTTCTACTTTTTCACATTCTGAGCCTGAACCCATGCTTGACTTAGAAGTGTGTTTGGGAAGTACATTTGGCTTAAAGACCACAGTGACAGAAGGTCTAGGGAACAAGTGGAGGGATTTGCATTTCAAATCATAGTCAATTTCACAAAAAGATTTTTCAACAAAAAGTACTAAAACTCTGTTCATTTTGGTTCTTTGGTGGCAGAATTGACACACTTAAATAATTGATTTATCCTGGGCATTGGCCATTGTGTAAGATTGTGCTGCAATTTTGGGAAGAGGCCTGTCATTTTTATCTCCAGTGTTTTTGAACAAAAGTGTAAAAGATGTCCTTCTCTTTCTCTGAGAACTGGGGGGAGAATGTGACTCAATGGGAGATTATTCCAAGTTTCTAGTGATGTTACACTTTCTTGCCTTTTGCTACCTTTTGGTTCTACCTTACTATTTGAAACATTCATTGTTGGTTTCTTTACACAGTTGAGAGAATGAAAATGTCTTTGGTAATTGCTTTTTAAGTTAGTATTATAGTATCTACTGTTGAAGACCTAAAATTCATTATTATATGTTTTAAATAAAGCCTATGACAGTAATCTTCTGAAGTAGCTCTTTGGGGTTGAGAGTTATACTTCTGTAAGGTTGTGTCCACATCTCTGGTGTCTGATTCAGTTTTATCTCAGTTGCTATAGAAACTAAATAAATACTCAGCTTATCTTTTTAATTCAGAAGTAAGCTGTTTTAAAAGAGGTCCGTGAAGCAGTATGAGATATATTTTTGATGATGTGTCTGGACTCTCTGGCAAAGGAAATGCCTTTGCATCATCAGGCCTGTAGGCTCCTACTTTACCCAGTTCTTCAAAAAGGACTTGGTTTTGGATCTTATTTTCAACAGGGGTTTCAAAGATATATTTTAGTGCTTCATAAATGGGAAACAAATGTTATACAAGTGTGTTTTTATCATTGTGGGCACAGTGGAGCATCTTATCAAATATTGGGGTCCCAGGCAGTGGGTGTAGCCTTGGTGGTAGAACATTTATACTCAGGATATTTCTCAAATGAGTTTCTATAGTGTCCTTTATCCTTCAAATGGGCACTCTGGGGGTGTTACTGTGTCTTTTTGTATTTCTTCTTGCTCAGTGATATTCATGGCAGGTTTATGCATGATATTTAAGTCCTCACTATCTGAAATAACACCTTTTCTTGTTTATAAATATGAGTTGTTGTCTATTTCATATCCATGGTTTACTTCTGGCTCTACACCAGGAAGTTCCACATTTCCTGATCATTCATCACAAAGAGCTGAGAATACTGCAGCAATGAGATTGTAAAATTAAATTCTTTTACAATTGTCAAGATGTTCTTAATGTCTCTAGCATCGGCAATTTCTCCTGGAATTTAGAACTCTCTTTTTCCTTTCTTGGGCTTGTTTTTTATTCTACTATTCCTTTAGTAAGGAAAAGTATTCCTTTAGCATGGAAGCACAAAGACTTCTAATAATGATCCCTGATGCATATTTACACCTGGAACCATGGTTTTTGGTTTGATGAAGGCATATTCTAATTTCCTCTTAATGCTTACACTACCATATCCTATGATACCAAGTATCTTTGAAATTGGGTGCTTTGGGATTCTCATAGTTCAATATTTGGGTTTCAGTTCTCTTTTCAGATTTGTTACTATGAATCTGCTTTTCTGGTTTTTGTAACAAATAGGAATGTAGGCATACAATGAATTGAGAATGCTGTTAGAAATTTTTGTCCTTGAATGTTTTGTCCTTGAATTTATTATTTTACATGTCGATCCCAGTTCCCCCTCCCTACCTCCCTCACTTTTATACTCTCTGCCCTCTCACATGCACCCTAACCACCCTCCTATTCCCCCACCCCAATTCCATATGTAGGGTAATGCCATCCAATTGGGGTCATGTAGATCTGACAAGTCTAGCTCCTTCTAAAGCTTTTCCCGGAATGGGTACTTGTTCTCTCTAAAGTGACTACCTGAGTCTTGAAGAGCATGATTTTTAGTGCTGCTATTCTCTCTGGCTTTATTCTCCAGATTGCAATACAGCTCTTCTGCATGTCCCCTGTCCTCTCTGAGTGTTTTTTGTTTTCTTCTAGGTCTATATTGTGTCTTTCTGCCTCACAGTATAGATGGTGTCCATTTCTAGTGTTTTCTGCTTCAGATTTGCATCAGAGATTGTGTCTATTTCATCCCTTTGTTCCAGGTGTTCAGATTTCAGTACAGAATCATGGGACTTCTAAGGCAATGCTAGATCACACTGTTCTTGTTCTGGAACAATTGATGGTGGATCTTCTTTCCTTCTTGTGGCATTATACTCTGCTGTTCTCTTGTGTACCCCTGACTGCATCTGTGGGCTGATAATTACTGCAGTTTTCCTGTCCACATCTGTTTGTAAAGGTATCCTCTGATTTTCCCTGTAAACTGGAACAATAAGAAGAGGGAATAAGGAGATCCGACTATCCTGCAAAACCTTCCCAAGTTTCAGCTCAGCCCTTGTCCTCTTCCGCCAGCTATTGGCCAGAGGTGAGTCTGGGCCCAATCAGGCTGCCTGTCCCCTACAACCACCTCCCCCCCCCCACCGGAACTCCTTGGGTTGGCCCCTGATCCTGCTGCTCCTGTCTCCTGTCCCCATTGGGAGCACCCTTGGAGCTCTGATACACCCCCACCCATCCCCACCGCGAGGCTGCCCCCCCACCCTGTGCCCTACCCCACCCACGGTCCTGCTGCTCTGGTTGAGCACTGGGACAGAGGGTGGAGCCAACAGTCCACCCTACTTCTGAGACTTCTCAGAGCAACTCTGAACAAAGGAGACCTGACTATCCACACGGGACCACCCATAATTTCCACCTGCTTGGTCTCTGACCCCACCTCCAGTCCTCTGCTGGAGCCCCGGGCCCCTCCTAGAGATCCGCCTATCTCTGCGGGTCCACTCTGAGTTCCAGCGGGCAAGATCCTTGACCCCCAAATCTGGGCCTCTGCCAAAGAAAGAGGCCTCAGCTGGAGAGCTCCAGTTTACAGTGAGATCCAACTATCCTGCAAAACCTTCCCAAGTTCACCTCAGCCCTTGTCCTCTTCCGCCAGCTATTGGCCAGAGGTGAGTCTGGGCCCAATCAGGCTGCCTGTCCCCTACAACCTCCTCACCCCCCCCCCACCACCACCCGAACTCCCTGGGTTGGCCCCTGATCCTGCTGCTCCTGTCTCCTGTCCCCATTGAGAGCACCCTTGGAGCTCTGATACACCCCCACCATCCCCACCACGAGACTGCCCCCCCTACCCTGTGCCCTTACCCTACCCACGGTCCTGCTGCTCTGGTTGAGCACTGGGACAGAGGGTGAAGCCAACAGTCCACCCTACTTCTGAGACTTCTCAGAGCAACCCTGAACAAAGGAGACCTGACTATCCACACGGGACCATCCATAATTTCCACCTGCTTGGTCTCTGACCCCACCTCCAGTCCTCTGCTGGAGCCCCAGGCCCCTCCCAGAGATCTGCCTATCTCTGCGGGACCACTGTGAGTACCTGCTGGCATCTTCTTACTGGATCCTCATCCTTGACCCCATCCCTGGGTCCCTGTCTGTGGAGAAACCTCCTAGAGAGCTTGGACAACACAGAGCTACAGATATTGAATCTCAGACCCACATAAGCCCACCGGGGAATTATCATAGAGAGAGAGGGAGACCCCACCAACACCTACTGGAAGAAGCTATGGGAAGAAGGCAATACAAGAAAACACCTAACAACAGAAAGACAAGCATGACACCACCAGAATCTAGGGAATCTACACCAACTAGAATGGAACACAACAACAAAGCAGAGGAAGCAGAAGGGTACAACTTAAAAATTACCATCATAAAAATGATAGAGGCCCTCAAAGAAGATGTGAGAAAATCCCTTAAAGAAATGGAGGAAAAAACAAAAAAGTGGAAGAAATGAACAAATTCCTTAAGGAAAGTACAGAAAGCCAAGAAAAAAAATTAAGCAGGTGAAGGAAACAGTTCAAGACTTGAAAACTGAAATAGAGAAAATAAACGCAACACAAACGGAAGGAATGCTGGAAATTGAAAAGCTGGGCAAAAAATCGGCAACTATGGACACAAGCATAACCAATAGAATTCAAGAGATGGAAGATATAATCTCAGGTGCAGAAGATAAACTAGAAGAAATAGATTCATCGACCAAAGAAAATCATAAAATCCAACAAATCCTTAACACAAAACATCCAGGAAATGTGGGACACCATGAAAAGGCCAAAACTAAGAATAATAGGCATAGACGAAGGTGAGGAAGCCCAGCTCAAAGGTGCCGAAAACATATTCAACAAAATCATCGAGGAAAACTTTTCAAATCTGAAGAAGGACATGCCCATGAGAGTACAAGAAGCATACGGAACCCCAAATAGGCTGGACCAAAGAAAAAAGACCCCTCAACATATAATAATCAAAACACCTAGCATACAGAATAAATAAAGAATATTAAGAGCAGCGAAGGAAAAAGGACAGGTAACATATAATGGCAGACCTATCAAAATTACACCTGACTTCTCCATGGAAACCCTCAAGGCCAGAAGGTCCTGGATAGATGTTCTAAAAGTATTAAGAGAACACGGATGCCAGCCTAGGCTACTATATCCAGCAAAACTCTCAATCACTATAGATGGAGAAAACAAGATATTTAATGACAAAACCAGATTTTCCCAATATGTATCTACAAATCCAGCCCTACAGAAAGTATTGGAAGAAAAACTCCAACCCAAGGAAGGTAACTACGCCCACAAAATTGTAGGCAACAGATAATCCAACTATACCAGAAACCAAGGGTAAAGCAGAACAAATATATTCACAATACCACTGCTAACAACAAACATAAATCAAACAAGCATCAACAATCAATGGTCCTTACTCACCCTCAACATTAATGGTCTTAACTCACCTATAAAAAGACACAGGCTACTGGGATACCTCATTCAGGATGGTTTCTTCAAGTGCCATCCACTTGCCTGCGAATTTCAAGATGCCATTGTTTTTTTCTGCAGAGTAGTATTCCATTGTGTAGATGTGCCACATCTTCATTAACCATTCTTCAATTGAGGGGCATCTAGGTTGCTTCCAGCTTCTTGCTATTACAAATAGTGCTGCTATGAACATAGTTGAACAGATGTCTTATGTATGTACTCACTCATATATGGATTTTAGACCTAGATCAAAGGATCACCAGCCTATAATTCACATCACCAGACGAACTAGGATACAAGGTGTATTCTAAGAGATTCATATAAAGTCCCTCACAGAACTGGGAAGGGACAAGTCCCCCAGAGCTCAGGGGAAGTGGGGGGGGGGCAGCAAATGGAGAGAGAAGTAGGAGAAAATGAGGGGGAGGAAAGGAAAACATGTGCGACCAGGAAGATTGACACAGGCTAACAGAATGGATACGAAGACAGAATCCATCCTTCTGCTGCATACAAGAAACACATCTAAGCTTCAAAGATAGACATTACCTCAGGGTAAAGGGTTGGGAAAAGATTTTCCAATCAAATGAAAATAAGAAGCAAGCAGGCATAGCTATCCTAATATCTAACAAGTTAGACTTCAAACCAAAATTAGTCAAGAGATGAAGACAGTCATTTCATATTTATCACAGGAGAAATCCATCAACACAAAGTCTCAGTTCTGAACATCTATATCCCTAATACAAAGTCACCCACATTCGTAAAAGAAACACTACTAAAACTCAAAGCTCATATAAAACCTCACACACTTATGGTGGGAGACTTCAATACACCACTCTCAACACTAGACAGGACCACAAATCAGAAACTCAACAAAGAAACAAAAGAATTAACAGAAGTTATGTCTCAACTGGGGTTAACAGACATCTGTAGAACATTCCATCCAAAGACAAAAGAATATATCTT